TAGCAGTAATCCTGAGTCCATAGAAGTTAGGCTTCTATTGGGACTAGGTTTATGTTGGCTATAAAAGAGAGGCACCCCCATGGGTCTAAGGTATGCTTTTTTGGCTCAAGCTTGTGAGTTGAATAATTGATTATCTTTGAGAGATATACTGACTTGATCGTCGGAGTGCCCCCGGGTGGACGAACCACCGCGGGATTCTTATATTTCTATTGCAGGTCAGTCAGGTGCCATCTATTCTGCCAATGTTCTCCAGCTGAATTACTGAGTTGGCAGTGTGGTCGAAAAATTTTCCACACAATTTGGCGCCGTCTGTGGGAAAGAAAGAAGAATAGATGGCCAATAAAAGAAAGAAGAATAGATGGCCAATGACGGACAGAAGGATCAGACTGGAGACAATGCTCCTACTGGGAATGGGAGATCTATCAACCTCGACGTTGAAGGGGACAACCGCAACACAGAAACTCGTGACCAGAGTCACGGAGTGAAAGACACCGGCCAGGAAGGTGACGCGCCAAAGACAACAGATCGAAACGGATACTACAACAAAGATGACCTCCAGGTATGGAAGGATAGATACTTGCGGAGGAACGAAGACCCTTTCAGAAGGGATGCAAAGACAGGGGGCATGAGCGCTCCCAAGGAGATAAAATTCAAGTATAGAAGAATTCATCCTGAGTGAGCAGATCCCGGATTCCATATCCTGGATCCCGGATCCGAGAAGACATGATCTCAGCCTAAACAAGTAGGCCCGAGAAGACGAGAGCTCAACCTAAGTGAGCAGATCCCAGATTCCAGATCCCGGATCCTAGAAGACATGATCTCGGCCTAGATGAGTAGGTCCGAGAAGAGAAGAGCTCAACCTAAGTGAGTAGATCCAAGATTCTAGCAGACAAGATCTCGGCACTTAAGTTCGAAAAGAGAAGAGCTCAGTGAGCAAATCTCAGATCCCAGAAGATAAAAAAGAAAACACACAAGGTTGGACTGCAATTAGCCACGTTGAAGACCTTTTATAAGGTTCGCAAAGGAGTATGTGGAAGCCATGCAGGGGGCAGAGAGAAGAATAATATGTTTACCACTTGTTGAAATTTGTAGTAATTTACAAGTTGGTTAAACCGATATGATGTTTATCACTTGTTGAAATTTGTAGCAATTTACAAGTTCGTTAAACCGAGATGATGTTTACCACTTGTTAAAATTTGTAGCAATTTACAAGTTGGTTAAACCGAGATGATGTTTACCACTTGTTGAAATTTGTAGCAATTTACAGGTTGGTTAAACCGATATGATGTTTACCACTTGATGAAATTTGTAGCAATTTACAGGTTGGTTAAACCGATATGATGTTTACCACTTGTTGAAATTTGTAGCAATTTACAAGTTGGTTAAACCGAGATGATGTTTAACACTTGTTGAAATTCTGTGTGAATTTACAAGTTGAAGTTAAACCGATGTGATATTTAACACTTGTTGAAATCCTGTGTGAATTTACAATTTGAAGTTAAACCGATGTGATATTTAACACTTGTTGAAATTCTGTGTGAATTTACAAGTTGAAGTTCTGTGTGAATTTACAAGTTGAAGTTAAACTGATGTGACATTTAAACACTTGTTGAAATTCTATATGAATTTACAAGTTGAAGTTAAACCGAGATAATGTTTAACATTTGTTGAAATTCTGTGTGAATTTACAAGTTAAAATTAAACCGAGGTCATGTTTAACACTTGTTGAAATTCTGTGTGAATTTACAAGTTGAAGTTAAACCGATGTGATATTTAACACTTGTTGAAATTCTGTATGAATTTACAAGTTGAAGTTAAACCGAGGTCGTATCGGAAGAAGATTGATTTAAACACTTGTTGAAATTTTGTGTGAATTTACAAGTTATAGTTAAACCGAGGTTATGATAAAGAAAGATGGTTTAATACTTGTTGAAATTTTGAGAAAAACTTACAAGCTGAAGTTAAGCCGAGGTTATGATAAAGGATGATGGTTAAACACTTGTTGAAATTTTTGAGAAAAATTTACAAGTTAAAGTCAAGTTCAAGCAATATCTGTGTACTTGCCGAGACTACCAGGTTGTCAAAACTTGAAATATGGAAAACTGAAGTCTTGATAGAAGACATTGGGAAAGTGACAAGTCCTAAGCAACACTTGTGAAAATATTTGTTACAATATTTTCAAGTGTTAGGACAAGGCCGAGATGAGCAAGATTAGAAGTTGTGACAGAGGTATTTTACTCGAAGAGATTGCACAGTCAAGGTGTACTTTGAAGACATGCAAATTATTCTAAGTATAGAATCATACAAGAGCAGAAAAAAGAAGACATACATTCAAAGAAGAAATCAGAGAAATGCATTTAAAGAAGAAAGAAGACACTTCGGCATGAATATTGAAAAATAAATTATTCAGACCACAAAAATGGCACGTTGGCCGGATTAAAAGCATACAAAGACGGACAAAGTACAAAGTACAAGGTACAAGGTACAAGGAGTAAAAGAAGGAAACAAAACTACTCGGCATCAATGGCAGGATATAGAAGATAGTTGGGAAGACTTCTCAGCAGCCTTCTCGGCCTCGAGCTCAGCATCAATCTCCCGAAGAGTTTGATCAAGGCTCTTCTCGGCGATTGGCACCTCGGAGTTTGAAGGTAAGGATTGAAAGCAAGAATCTGGAAAAAAACACAGAAAACAGAAACAAGAATGTAATTCGTAATCAAGAATGGTGATGAAGCTATCAGGAAATCAAGACAAAAAGATTGCACAAGTACGTCAAGCCATGAACAGTGGCAGAAATCAACAGATGTGTGAACAGTGTGTATTCAAGAAGATGATTTGGAAACAACGGGTAAAACAGCAATGGTGATTAACAATGAAGCAGAGCTTCTTGGAAAGCAACAAGAAATAAAACCAGGAGGAACAGTGGCTTACTAGAAAGAGGGAAGCCGGAATGAGAATTACCGAAGTATGACGACAATGACAGAATGACGCAAGCTTCACTGGAGGAGAGGAACGAAGACAGGTGCAGAAGCTTGAAAGCTTAGAACAATGACGGATTTAAGCAAAAGAGCTAGAAAGAGAAAAAGCCAGAGGATTGAATGAAAAAAGAGAAAAATCAGAGTCAAGAAGACGACAAAGTTCAAGAATAAAGCCAAGTGCACAGGCACTAAGTAAGTATGTGAAGAACAAGAAAGTAATGACCCAGACACGATGCTAGCAACAGAAAGCGGATATGACAAGAACAGTGCCAGGCATTCAAACAATTCAAAACTTGAAGACAGACGAAAATAGAAGGCAACAGATGGCAAATAAACAAATTCAGAAGAGTTATGAAAGATTGAGCTTAATAGCAAGTAAAGGAGATTTGATGAAGCCTACCAAGTGAAAATTCACCGGCCAATATCGAAAATCGCCGGAGCTCAAATAGATGACTGGAAATCGGGAACTCACCAGAGAGTTGTGAGTGGAGCAGGTTGCAAAGACTCTTGAGTGTTCTTCGTCGAAATAATAGAACCAGAACCTCCGGCTAGGCAGGTGCGATTTCAAGCAAACCATTGGGAAAAGCATGAAAACTTGAATTCTTGACACCAGTGCGACATAAAATTCCAGGGAACTTTGAGGTGGTCGGACTGAGCGTCTTTGATCTCGGACAAGAAGGGCACAGCATTTAGAACCCGAACAGTGTTAGGCTTCCATCACCTCAGAATGCCGATAGGTAATAGAACCTAGGGGCAGTTGTGGGGATATATTTTCTAAGTACCAACATGTGGCAAGGTGACGCCGACGTGTCAGCCAAGGTGCCACGCGTCCTGGTCATGACGCCGAGGTGATCTCGGCAAGGCCGAAGTTATCTCCGAAGATATCGGAATCCGAGATAAGTGGATATGGGACAAGAGTCCTAGAATGAAAAGGGAACTCAATCTGGATGAGGGACAAGAGTCCTAGAATGAGAGAAGACTTTAGTTTGTATTAAGATAATCCTGAGTCCATAGAAGTTAGGTTTCTATTGGGACTAGGTTTATGTTGTCTATAAAAGAGAGGCACCTCCATAGGTCTAAGGTATGCTTTTTTGGCTTAAGCTTGTGAGTTGAATAATTGATTATCTTTGAGAGATATACTGACTTGATCGTCGGAGTGCCCCTGGGTGGACGAACCACCGCGAGATTCTTATATTTCTGTTGCAGGTCAGTCAGATGCCATCTATTCTGCCAGTGTTCTCCAGCTGAATTACTGAGTTGGCAGTGTGGTCGGAAAATTTCCCACACAGTTAAAACCTCTGTTAAGTTAATTTGATTGTATATAAATCAAATGGTCTATGCGGTTATTTCGCATAATCTAGAATTTAGCCTCTCAAATGCTGCTACTAAGAGCATCTCGAATAGTTGTTGCTATATTTTCATTATCATTGTTATAATTTGGTAATGAAGAGTGTTATTTTGCAAAATTATAATAATGGTGCTCTAATGATCATTTGCTATTTTGGCAAATTCCAATCAACTTTTTCTTCAAGTTTGTAGGTGTTGTTTGGATATAGATTTTTTTGTGATTTTATTTATTTATTTATTTATTTTTGTCTTTTATGACTTTTTTTTTAACTGTTTATAAAAAAAATTATATATTTATATTATTTTCGATTAGACAAATATAAAAAATAAAAAATTTTAAAAATTAAAAACAAAATATATTTAATGAAAAAAAATGTATTTTATTTTTTTATTACCTTCATTTCAAAAATAGTCAATATTATATATTACAAAACTAATATTACTTCGTAGAAAATACTCAAAAATAAAAAAAGAAAAGAATAAAATAGTCGTTGTGATATGTATTTTATGTTTCACTTATGTTTTAATTTAATTTTTATTTTTTTAAATGAATAAAATAACACACTTGGATCTCAGCTGTTGGATCAACTTAATCAACGGCTGAGGTCAATCATCTAGAATGCTCCTTCTTTGCCCATTGAATAAAATAGCACACTTTCACCGTCTGTGTCTCTATCCTTTCACTCTCACCGGCTTCATCTCTCTCTCCCTGGTTCTCACCTTCTCTCTCCCCCTGTTTCTCGGATCAACTTCTTCTCTCATCCGAAGTCCTCTCACTCTCTCTCTCTCTCTCTCTCTCTCCAGAAGCACAACCAGATCATCAACCTATCCCTATCCTTCGAAGCCCTAACCCCTCCATCCACCTATCCTTCGAAGCCTTAGCCCCCATCTTCAACCCTCTTCTCCAACCTCAATGGTCACATTTCTTCAATTTGGCTTTCTGAAGAAGATGAATATTGGAGAAATTAGTATAAATTCGGCTTTCAACTCCAGGTATTTTTCTTCTAAAACTCATAAGGGATTATTTGAGAAATTAATTTGAGATTATTTCTGTTGGTATTCCTGTTGATATTGGTGATAATTTTGAAACCAGTTGATATCTAAATCTGTTAATTTGAAATCTGTTAATTTGAGATTATTCCTGTTGCTATTTCTGAAATCGGTTGACATTCCTGTTGATATTGCTGAAATTTTTGAAGATGATTAATTTGATATTGCTGAAATTTAGTATTGAAGATGATTAATTTGGTATTTGCTGAAATTCAAACATTCTGGAATTCAAACATTCTGATTAATTTATGAATTTTGTTTTAAACAAAATGGTGAATTTCATATTTTTTATAAAAAAAACTTCAAACATTCTGGAAAATCTCAACTGAAAGGGAAGGACGGAAGGAAGAAAACAGTTGGTTTTTGGGTGACTTAGCAGATTTGGCAGCTGCCAAAGTAGTTGCCAAATTTGGCACATGATTTGGCAGCTGCCAAATTTGGCAACTGGTATAGCATCCCATTTGAGAAGGCCATTTTTGCCCAAGCTGCTATATTATGGCTTTGGCAACTGTTTTAGCAATCCATTGGAGATGCTCTAATATATGGTGAATTTAGGCTCGGTTTGTTTACCAAGATTTTTTTTTTAATTCAAAAAATTTACAGGAAAATATATAACATTTTTAGTCACTTTGCAATGTTTGGCTGAAGTTCCACACAAGAAAGTACAAATCAATATGCCAAACGTGTAGAGCTACGGAACCTGTAGATTGGGATTCATGCCATTCCGTGTTGTTGAAAAATTTGACTTACAGATTTTCATTTCGCAAGTCATTTTACTGCTAACACTGTAAAATGATTTAGTTGGAAATTATTTTACTGAGATTTTGTGCTACTAAACACTGGAAAATACAAAAAAAATATTTTGGCTGAAATTAGTTTACGATCAAACAAGCAGAGCCTTAGTGTAAAAACCAACCGCCCTGAGCCTATTACATCTCAAGACTAATCCGTTTAGATTTATTTGAAATAAGTTTAACCAAACAGTCCAAAATAGTTTTTTCAAAGCTAGAAGCTATAAGTTGGCTCAAAAAAGTCCATACAAACACCCTCAAAATCTCACCATTTTTGGTGAGAAATGAAATAAGTTTAGTAAGAGAGTTATATTTTTCACAATTTTTTACTCAACTTATAAACCAAACATGAGAAGAGTTCTTTTTCTCATAATTTCTTATCATTTTTCTCCAACTCACCCCATCCGACAGGAGAGGGTTGGCTTAATGGTTGAGGCACTCCCTTACTAGGTGTGATGCCTGGTTTGAGTCTTATTATTGTGTATGTGCCCTTGGCCTATGCCCCTTCCTTCTCTTGGCTTAATTCCATAACATATTTTCAATTTTTGAGAAGGAAAAAAAAGCATTAGAATTATTATTATTATTATTATTTTTGAAGAGTGGTTTAACTAATGTTATCAAAGGCGTGCCTAGGCCCAAGGCGCATGTGAGGCACCTCAACACTTAAGAGGTGAGGCGATTTCAACGAAGGGAAATTGAGGCACTTGAGGTGCAAGGCACGAAGCGGAGCACATCTTTTTCAATTGTGCCTAATTTGCTTGCATACAATTTGAAGATAAATGTATAAAACATTTTTTTATTTTGGCTTATATATCATTTTTTTTAATCATTAATGACTTCATTTTCTATTACATGTGCTTTGCTTCAATGAAGCCGGTGCCTCACCTCGCCTCACCTTAGACCTTGGCACCTCTGTGCACGTCTTGCCTTAAAAAACTCTGGGTTTGACGTTAGTATTATCAAATGCCTAGTTCTGAAAATGCCCTTTTATGTAGCTGAAAAATGAAAATAGCCTTGAAAACCAAGACTAAAAAGGATAGAAGTGAAACCTGTAGCGATGTTGTCACTCCCGTACAGTATCGGCTGAGATCAGTGTTGTGAAAAGCGCGCCTAGGCACCAGGCGTAGCGAGGTGCAGCCGGCGTGACTTAAAGAGGCTAAGGCGAGGCGCAGTAGAACAGTCGCGTGCCTTGAACGCAACTGGGAGAGGCGTAGCGAGGCGCAAGGCTCGCGCCTAGGCGGGTTTTTGTTTTTCTTCCTTATTCAGATCTAACGGCTCAAAATTGTGTTCCAAAAGGATCCAACACATACGATTGCAACTCATATACAATACAATACATCCCAACCCAAATCAGAATACGACTCAAATCAAATCCCTAATTTGTGTCGACTTCGACTGTGATCTTCCTCTGGACTGCTTCGACTGGGCTCCTCTCTCGAATCAAGTACTCTTCTTCTTCTTCTTCTTCTTCGCTGTTCGAACCTCCTTCAATTGGGCTCCTCTCTCTCTCTCTCTCTCTCTCTCTCTCGCTCTCGCTTTTTTTTTGCATCATCTCTCTCTCTCTCTCTCTCTCTCTCTCGTTGGTTCTTGCTCTATTTCTGTATCAGTCCACTCTGACTGTAAGGCATATATATCTCTCTGTTTTTGTATACAAATAAATCTCTCTGTTTGTACTTATCTGTATAGATTCTAGACTCTCAAAGGTAATATTAATATATTATTATTATTATTGATATTATAACTTAGTTTCTTCTTCTTTAATTTATTATTATTTTTTTTGATGGACTTTAATTTATTATTATTGTTAATATTCTATTCTTCTTATTTTTTTGTACTCTTTTTATGCTATATTTAATAAATTTTGTATTTTATAAAAATAAAAAAAATTCAAAACTCAAAATGGTTACGCCTCAACGCCTCGCCTTGCGCCTTCGCCTTTAAAAACACTAATTAGTATTTGTTGTATATTTTTGTTTTTTTTTTTTTGGTTAAATGTGGATTATTTTAATTTTGAAAATTGAATTGCAATGTAATATGCACTTTTATGGCTTTGAGAATTATTCTATAATTTGCCTCAGTTATTTATTTGTTTATTTTTAAATTGTCTTACTACTAACATGCTATAAATCAGTAGTCTATATTAATTTATCTATTTTTTACTAAGACTGTGCACCTTACTTTAATAAAGCCCGCGCCTCGCCTTGTGCCTAGGCCCCCAAGAGACCTTCGGCGCCTCAGTGTGCCTTGAGCCTTTAAAAACACTAGTCGAGTAATACCGTTTTGACTAAAAACTAGTAAATACCCATTTTTTGTTCTGGTGATAATACCATGAGTATTGCCACACTATGTTTAGTTAACAAAACGGTATATGTGGGCCCATTTATGGTATGTATGCATCATTATGTTTGGTTATGGTATGATATTTTTGACTGTTGGAGAAGAAGAGAGTGATTATTTTTGACTATTGCATAAAGGATGGTTCTATATTCAGCGATGTGGGATATCTAACAAGATTGTTGGGGGGAAGCAGTATTTTTAAAGGCTCAAGGCACACTAAGGCGTTGAAGGTCTCTCGGGGCTTAGGCGCAAGGTGAGGCACGGGCTTTATTGAAGCAAGGTGCACAGTCTTAGTAAAAAATAGATAAATTAACATAGATTAATCATTCATAGTACTAAGACAAATTTTTTAAAAAAATATAAAGTAATAAGACAAATTATAGAATAATTCTCAAAGCTATGAAACTGCATATTACACAGCATTCTAATTTTCAAAGATAAAATAATCCACATTTAACCAAAAAAAAAAAAAACATAAACACTAAACATCTAAAACATAAATATCCAACAAATACTATATGTGTCTTAACACTTCAAAACATCAATATCATAAGAAAGGATAGGTTAGGTCAGTCAATCATCGTCCTCAACATCAATGGCAAGCAAACTATCATCTTCTTCTCTATCAGTTGATTTATATCCCTCAACATCTTCCTCCTCTGTGTCATTTGAGCCCGCCTCCTCATCTATTAATTGAAGTGGAGTTAATCTTGATGATTTAGATATCCTCGGTTGTGCATTTCAGCGTAAACTTGTTGCTCTACTTGCATGACTACTTTCTTCTACTCTAGAAGCTCTAGCAACAGGGGCCCACATCAAGCCATCATCATCATCAAATACTAGCTCACTATCTTCATCTGATTCTCTATCCATCCTCCCAAGCAAGCACACATTGCTTTCATCAATATTTTGCAAAGATATGGGATCAAGAGTGTTGCGCACGTCATGTCTAGATCTCAATGTTTTATTATATTTGACAAATACTAAATCATTGAGACATCGTTGTTTCAATCTATTTCTTTTCTTGCTATGAAGTTGCAAGTATTAAAAAGATATTAAATTCTATATAATGAGAATAAAAAATATTAGAATTTACCAAAAATTAGTTAGAATGTTAAATACTCACATATTCAAATACACTCCAATTTCGTTCACAATCCAATGAACTACATGTTAGGTTAAGGACTTTTATGGCAAAAGTTTGCAAGTTTGGAGTTTTAGAACCATATGATGCCCACCAATCAGTTGCAAAAATCACTAGTTAGAAATAATTGTTGCTAAATATTGAGTTTTACTAGAAGTATTACTAAAAATAAACTCTACGAGTATATTATATATTACCTGGTGCTCTTGTATTTCTTTGCTTAATCGCAATAGGCTCGCCAAAAAGGCTCTCAGCCTTCATATAAATACTCATCTCATTAGTGATCAAATCTTGAACAGTGACATCTAGGACCAACCTTTGCATGCATTCATAAAACCCATTTATCACTTTATGATCTTTTTGCACCTCTAACGCTTTTGGGTAAAAGAATTCTAGGTTAAGAAAGTGTGCAACTACATGTAAAGGCCAATGCAATTGGATGTCCCACCTTTTGTCGATGATTTTGAAGATTTCATTATATTTCTCGTTTTTATGATCAAACAAACTTACAATGCATTCTTTTGCTCTATCCATTGCCTCATAAATGTATCCCATGAGAGGTTTCTTCTCGGTATCAATCAATCTAAACACTTTGACGAGAGGACCCGAGTCCTTAAGGGCAAACACAACATTATTCCAAAATGAAGGCATCAACAAAGTTTGTGCAATTCTTTTACCTTGTGGCTCCTTTGCCCATTTGCTTGAGGTCTAGTCTTCAGAGGTGACCATCTTTCTCAAATTATTTTTTTGTTGATGCATCCTAGACAAAGTCAGAAAGGTGGTTGCAAATCTAGTTTTTGCAGGCTTGATCAAATTCTTTAGATTTGTATAGTGCCTCATCATGTTTAGCAACGTAGGCTGGTTGTAAATGTAGCCATGTACTGCAATACCCCTTTCAAATGTCTTTTTTAGTTGGAGTATCTTGAAAATGTCTTCTAACATCAAGTCCAAGCAATCAGTAGCACATGGTGTCCAATACAAGTGTTCATACTTGGCTTCCAAAAACCTCCCTATAATGCAACAATTACAAAGAAGTATTATTTTCAAGTTTTTAAATTTTAACTACAAATCAAACTATGAGTAAACAATTTTGAAGTAAGGAAAGAGGAAAGATTTTTACCTGCCAACACATTAGCTGCAGCACTATCAGTGATAACTTGCACCACGTTCTCTTTTCCAACTTTCTCCACAAACTTATCTAGTAATTCAAATAGCTTCTGTCCATCCTTTGAATAGCTAGAAGCATCAACCGACTCAACAAACATGGTTCCTCTTGGACAATTTACTAAAAAATTAATGTTCTCTCTCTCTTATCAGTCTAGCCATCAGCCATTACGAAACACCTGTATTTTGCACAATCCTCTTTATGATTCTTCATCAAATCTTCAGTATATTTCACCTCTTTTTTGAGTTGGGTAATCCGCACTTCATGGTAAGTTGGTGGCTTCATACCGGGATCATATTGCCCAATGGCTTCAATCATTGGTCCAAAACTCTCATAATTTGCAGCATTGAAAGGGATACCGACATCATACATCCACCTTGCAAATCCTTGCACTGCCCGAGCTCTCATTTCTTTTTCGTAAGGGTCATTCTCATCAATTTGTGTTTGCTTCCCTTATCCTTGGTCTCTTTGATTTTTCATCATTGATTTAGGATTGGGTGTGAAGTAACATTCATAAGACCTTTTCTCTTTGGCATTTTTGATTTGGATTTGGATTTGGATGAGCCTTGGCTGCCACTTATCAACTTACGGCTTTGATTGACATTGATCTGAACATCTTCATCTTCCATGTCCATGCCATCGAAATCAAGTAACATGTTCATTTCTTCTTTTTGCGTCTTCTTTTTTGACATGAACTCTCTAATCTCTTCTCTTACATGAGCTGGACACTTCAGGCAAGCAGTGACATTCCTATAATCTCCCACGAGGTGTTGTTTCACCCGATAAGCACCTCCATTTGAGACTTAACCCCAAAAATTACACTCAAACTTGTTTAAATTACTAGGCTCTACCAAATGGGCATGTTGCCACGACGGATCTTTTTTATTCTTTTCAGATGTCATTTTCTACACAACAAATTTAATAAATGGAAAATAATTTCAGTGTAATGTAATGTGTGATCAATTAATTATTTGTAATTTTTTTTTTTCCTAATAGAGGAAGGAAAAAAAACAGACCAACAACTCAGCAAAGGAAAAAAATAATATTAATAGAGACTAATATAGTCTTATTTGTATATATATATATATATTTTTCTAACAGAGATTCAACTCAAAGAGAGAGCAAAGAAGAAGAAAAAGCAAAAGAAGAAGAAGAAGAAGAGAGAGAGAGAGTAGTCAAGGTTCGAAGAAGTAGTCGAAGTCGAAGAAGGAAAAAAAAAAGCAGCGAAGAAGAAGCAACCAGCAACCAGCGACCAGCGAAGCAGCAAAGAAGAGAAAAGGAGGGAAAAAAAAAAAAATACAGCAACCAGCGAAGCAGAAGAGAAGAAGAAGAAGAAGAAGCACTGGCCTGATGAATCGAAGTCGAAGTCGAAGTCGAGAGAGGAGCCTAGAGGAAGAGAACACAAATTTCTTCTTCGATAGATTAGGGATTTGAGTCGTATACTGATTTCAGTTGGGTTGTGTTGTATTGTATGAGTTGTAATCCTATGTGGTTGGAGCCTCTCCCACACAGATCAAAGCCATTAGATCAGAATCAAGAAGAAGAAGAAGAAAAAAAAGCCCCTTAGGCTCGCGCCTTGAGCCTCGCTGTGCCTGGTCCAAGTTGCGTCCAAGGCACGCGACTCATCAAATGCGCCTCGCCTTGGTCCCCTTCAGGCACACTTCTTGTGCCTCACTACGCCTTGCGCCTAGGCGTGCTTTTCACAACACTGGGTGGAAGGGTTGTGTTATTACCCCACTTTTGTGGGATATAAAATCATATGGTGTACAATATCTGCTCACCAAACATGAAGTGTAGAAAAGGTGGGGGGACATAGGACTCCACATGTTTTTCAAAGTTTTCTATATCCTGTCAAAGGGGTATATGTCCCCATATATCCTGCAATCAAACAAGGCCTAACACTTATTTGTTTTTTGTTGGAATTGTGAATCTCTATCTCCCGTTATTTTCCATATTTTACATCAGATGTCTCTTTTAGTAGATATTTGTGAAAATTATTTCGCCAGTTCTTTCTTGGTGAATTTTTATTTATAATTGTAATATCTGATTTTTTGCCTTATTCTGTTTTCAGGTATTGGGGATTGAGCACAGGAACTTCTCGCGCCTGTTCTACTAAGTTGGAAGTATTTAGTTATTTAAAAGGCAAGGCTGGACTTTTGGCGTCTCCTCAATTACTACCTGATGCATGTCCATCTTACCATGCAACAAATGTATGTTCAAAGTTTCTTTGTGGAAGCCGCTGTCTTTCTTCACAGGCTGGTGCAGAAAGCAGTAATATACGCAACACTTTCCATGTAAGTGAAAAAAATCAAGACTTATTAACGACTTATTTTTCATTGGTTATGGGGGAATATTGTGTTGAATATCTTACTGCTATGTTTTCCATTTAGTCTGGAACATGCATACTGTATAATATACAAATTTGGTAAATTTTTTGTGGTCCAATACTCTCGGGCTCTAGGAATAGTCGAAAGTGGTCACTTGTGTCCTTTGAGTTTGTGTGTCACTTTATTATTGCTGTTGAAGCTCTTGCATGCATGGAGTCATTTTTTTTAAGCAGCAACAAAAAGAAAATATATTGAAAGAAAAAAATGAGCAAGTACAGTGGAGGGGGAGAAGAAGTCCAGCAAATCATAAAGGAAAGCGAATACACCATAAATCCTAACATTATGCAAATAGCTCTCCAATCTTTAGAAATTTAAACAATGGGTTCCCTTAAAAAGTAGCCATCGAAACCCAAATATAAGGCAAATAACAAATCTTTTTACTAATGCTCTCAAAATCTTCGACTTTCCCCTAAAGATTTCTAACATTCCTTTCTATCCATAAGACCCAAAAAACCATACAACATATTTCCAGAGAGCCCGAGCCTTGTCATTTGAATAATCCAATCCACCTCTGCCAAATTAAATAATCTCCTCCATAAAGGTAGTGTTAAAGTACAATGCAAAAATAGACAATCCATGGTTTCCTCAGCCCCCATATACATAACACATTATTGTGGGAACAAATAACAATTTAACCTTCTATTTTGAACCATATCATTAGTATTAAGCTTTTATGAGAATGTCCATGCAAACACTCTAAGCTTAAGAGGCACAAATGCATCCCAAATCATCTTATAGAAGGGAAAGAAGGGGACATTTGGATTGTGAACAAGATTCTCAAAATAAGACTTGCAAGAGAACAACCCGGAGGAGTGGAGAGTCCGCACCCTCCTATCAACGGATGCATTAGACAAAGAAACAAACTCATTGGTCTAACAATCATTTAGATTTCTATTGGATATGTAGAGGATGAAACCAATGAAGCGATTTAAGCATTATGAACTCTTGATTACCGAAACAAACATGGAAGTAAGTGAGCAAATGGAAACTCTTCCCTCCAAACAGCCTCTCAAAATCGGATTAGCTCCCCATTACCCATGACAAAACGATTGAATTGGGAGAACCTCAAAAGGCCATGTGAGATAAATTTCCATGGAGAACAGTAAGTCTCCCTCTCTACCACAACAGTGTCCCATCCATTAACATGAAGCCCATTGAGGACAAAGATTGTGAACATGATTCTAATGCCATAAAATGGAAGCACCCAGCTGATTTCTATCAACTGAGATATCTTAGGCCCTAAAATGGAAGTAGCATAGCATGCAATGCAAAAATAGATGCTGCTTTGATTCCTTATTCCTCCTACACATGTTGCTCCATTGAGGACAAAGATTGCAATTAGGTTCCTCTTTTGAAAAATATGATCAGTCATGGGACTACTATGAGCCAATGTTCACATAAACTTTACTTTAAGTGGCACAACAACTTTTCAAGTCTTGTATTGCAATGTGACTCGTACTGATGGCCTTGAAAATGACCCAAGATTTGAAACCTTGGTTGTCAATATAATATATTTATATAGTTTAACTCGGCTGTCATTTGTTACAGAACTGGAAGGCTATAAATATTGTTTTCTCATATACAAGATCTCACAATTCTCGGATTTATTTTTGTAGCAATCATCATATTTATTCTATTATTGTCATCAGCTGTCATATCCCGCAGGAAGATTTTTTTAGCTGCAAGCACTTGGCTCCACAAACATCTCGATAGTGTTATTTGTTTTACGCCCTGTCTGAATATATGATTGAAGTTAATTATTGTGGGTTGTGGTTATCTTGTTTGGGTTGGCTTAGAAAAAGATTGGGATGTTATTGATTAAACTAGCTTAATTTTCATTTTGATGTAGTGAACAAATTTTTTTTTATGGACTGGCTTTCCTTTTAGAGAATGACATTCTTGTCTAAGTTATCTCTGCAATATTATTGTCTCCACTCTCCATTTGCATGGATTATAATATATATGAATTTTCACTATCATGTGAGAGTCATAAAGGGACAAAGGGTAAACGTAAAATGTCTGTATTGGTGGAACATTCTCAAGATGGTGAGTGACTTGTTTTGTATTTTTTCTTTCACTCAATTCACGTAAAGCTTTCAATATATTGCTACTTTGGAAGCATGAGTAGGAAATACCATTTTTTAGAAGTTATTGGGTAAGAATGCTCTATAACCGTGCTTTTTGTACTTCCTTTTCGTACAACCATATATTTTTCCTTTTTATTTCCCTATTGAATCTTACAAATGACAGTACATAATTCCAAAATTTCGCTTTGACTGCTGTCAAAGCTTCTTTTTAATTTTTTAAAAAAAAGGTTACAACTTTGTTGAGGAATTATAAGTTTTTACTGGGGATTTTGGTAATTTTTGATAATATTATTTATTTGAAAGGTGAATTTATGTTTGCTTTCTCCAAGGTGCTGCTTTCTGCACTGTTTTGGCACTTAGTAGCACATTCGTAAATTTTGTAATGCATCTCATATGCTTTTATATTACTTTCTCTATCTATCTTCTAATGTTTCCCATTCTATAACTTGCTTCTTTTTGCTTCTTATTTTTCCCTATTGTTTTGGAGTATTCACTTTGTGCTTTCTTTTCTCATTGGCATTCTCAAAGAGGATGCAATCCTCCTTTAAAAACTGTCTGTTTTGTTTCTAGTATTGTCCGGTGGCTGTGTAACTGTGTTGCACTTTTTCTCTTGGTAAGAAATTTCGACGGCATGACGAGTCTTCAATGCCATGAGTTTTTACTTTACCTGTTTCCGAGTTCTCATTTGCATACAATAAGTATTCCATTATTTTCTCTTTGGAAATGCCTAGAGTACCCTGATATGCATATTTTAGGTAGACTCTACACGATACAGATTTTTTTGTTTCCGTTCTTTCTTTCTCCTGGCTTTAGATATATAATTGTTCGGTTTATAATGGTGTGACATTTACTCATGTGATGGTTACATTTGTACCTTTTTTTTTCCCCATGCCAAGCAAGTTGTATGACGGCATGTTGTTATATTTGTGCTTATGTTTTGTTAATTTTGGCAGCTTCCGCCTTCCACGGGGAGGGTTGCATTACCCAAATCACGAGTCTTGTATACTGTTTTAAGATCACCTCATATTGACAAAAAGTCCAGAGAACAATTTTGTATGATAACAAAGAAAGAACTTCGGATCATAAAAAGAGACAGGAGTGAATTGAGCAAGATGATGTTTTGGTTGAAACGCCAGCGTATATTCGGGGCTCAATGTGAAATGATGTTGTCTTGCAAGACCCACTTAGATAAGGAGACACTGCAGAGACTTCTTCAGAATGATGAATTCCCCACCAAGGCTTTGGCAGGGCAACGGGCTCAGCCTAATGCGGGCACGAAGAAGACAGCGGAGGAGGCAGTTATTCGACTGAGGATTTGCTCTTTTTAATTTCTGACTACTTTCTTCTATTTTTATCTATATTGATCAAACATTTTACTTTTTTGGTTTATTTTATAAGATTAGCTACAAATATTTCTAGTATGTCGTTTGAACACTTTTGTCCTTGAGCTTTATAAGAAATTTGAGGGTGTGCCTTTTTTGTAATTGCAGCTCGAGCTCGGCTCAGAGTTTGTAACAAGAAAGCTTGTTTGATTTGATGAGTTCGAAATTAGTTCATCATTCATATGGCAAGCTCGAATTAGAGGCTCGGCTGGGCTTGTTTTGCAGGCATTTATAATTTTACGTTTACGTTTGTTTTATAACTTAATTAAATTACTAGGTGATTTTTAAACATTATTCCAATACTATGTGAAATGGTAGTAGTCAAGTTTTTGAGGTGTTTTTGCTGAACACACTCTCTATGCCTTTTGGCTGAATAAAATATTAAAGGATAAGATTAAAAACGCTTTTAAGAATGAGATTAAATTATTGTCCATTTGAAAAAAGGTGACTAAAAGTAAAACATGTTTAGTAAATATGCTTTTAAACTTGTATGAATAAATTATTTTGAGGAGTATTGGATAAATTTGAGACTATGAACAAATGAAGTTGACTGCTGCAAGAAAGTTCAATTTGATAATATTAATGATGTATTTAAATTTTAAATTTGTTAAGAGAAATGAAAATAAAATTACTAATTTATATTATTTTCAGTGAATAACTAAACTACAAATGTTATTGTTTTTTATTACAAATGTTCATTCATTTTTCTTAATTTTTAAACTAAAAAAAGAAAGGAAAAAAAATTACTTGCTTATGTTTCTCTTTGTATTTTCTTTCACTAATTTAAGATTTTAAACATTACTTAAGAAACTACTATTGCATTTTCATGAATCTTTTATAAAAGTTGCAGGCTTTCTATGTACTTGTTAACATTTCTTTGATATTTCTCATTTTACTTAATGATTCTAGCTCTCATTCATTCATTATTTATTTATTTATTTATTATTTAATTTAATTTATTTTTTGTGTTTTTGTGATGTGTTTGGTTTGCTTGTCAGCATTACCACTGAATTAATGAGTATTAGGAAATGGAGCCAATTCTAATGGACTGAGAGGATTTTGTTAAGGAAAATGGTTTTGTAAACGGAATTTTTTTACAAAAAATTTCATCAGAATAATGTGTTAATGACAACTTTCAAATAGTTTCTTAGTTCCATGCTTAATTCAACCATGATAAGTGACTTGTTTGGGATTGATAGTACCATTCACATAGCAATAAACAGGTTCAGATATTCCTCAAATTGAAACTCTTTACACCAGCATAAAAATACAACAATATGACAAGGCAATTTATATGGGGCATAATAACTTGACAAATGTGAGCATAAATTTGAGCTCAACCACAAAAAAAAACATTCCCAAGAAAAAAAGGACATTTTGATTGCATTTTATTGTTGTCGAAAGCAATAATGCTAGAAATATAGAAACCAGTTATAGAGTCGGACAGAGAACACAAACCGGTTTCTATGTGTAGTTCAACTGTACCTCCCCAACCCAGAAGAAGAAAGAAAACTACAATCATTTGTTGCCATTAAACAATATATTGGTGTGAATAAACATTATTATTGTCACCATACAAGCATTCCTCCATGGACTCGGATGTCTGCCAATCTGTTGAAGCGTTTGATTGGGTCTCTTGTACCGACAAACGTTGAGGTGAAGACCAGTAAGGCTTTGGAGGCATTTGCAAATCATCAATGCTTCCTTCTAACATCTCCACCACTCTGATCATTGATGGACGGTCTGATGCCTTCACTTGAATGCACCATAGCCCAACTATACATAACTTTTTCGCAATCTCTATTTCAATCTCACTCACATTCACAAGCTCTAAATCCCCTTCTCCTACGGTTAGATGATCATAAACCCATGACGGAAAGTAAACTTCGCTTGAGCTTTTTGCCTTTGCATCAACATTCTTTCTTCCTCCAGCCATTTTCAACAACAACATGCCAAAGCTGTATACATCTGATTTACTCGAGACTGCTCCAAAATTCCTTGAAATCAACTCAGGTGCTATGTACCCTATTGTTCCTCTTGTGGTACTCATGGACATAGGATTATACTCCTTTGGGTAAAATTTCGCAAGCCCAAAATCCGCTACTTTTGGGACGAAATTTTGGTCTAAAAGAACATTGTGAGGCTTAATGTCGAAATGAAGAATGCATACATCACATCCGCAGTGTAGATACTCAATACCTCGAGCAGTTCCTAGAGCGATTTCGAGGAGTTTCTCCCAAGTAAACGACTGAGTCTTTCCTTCCTTCGAGAAGATGTGTTTGTCAAGTGAACCATTAGGCATGTATTCATATACAAGACCGCGATATGACCCCTCTGAGCAAAATCCCAATAATTGTACCACATTGACATGGTGAATCCTACCGATTGTTGAGACCTCGTTGATGAATTCTTGTGCACTAAATTTGGTGTTTTCGAGCATTTTGACAGCAATCAAGAAGCCTCCTGGGAGATGCCCTTTGTAAACGGATCCAAAACCGCCTTTCCCCAATTGATCCTTGAAATGGTTTGTCATTGCCATTAGATCATTGTAAGAGTACCTTTTGGGCATCAAAGATTGCTGATTCCGTAGAAAATTTTCCACTCTATCTACTGGCTTTCTTTCTTTTCTATACTTATGGATGAGGAACACAATTACAACTAGTGGAGTGATGATAAATCTAGCAATAAGAGCTATAACTGCAAGATTTCAAGGAAAAGAAAAATTGTTAAATTAACCAAGTCAAATAGCTATTCAAATAGTTATACCCATAATAAGAAATGAAGTTCTGGTAGTAAGGAAATTATACCCCCAAAAAGTAATACAAGTACAGAGACGACAACCTTAAGTATTGCCTCAACCAGATTATCTGCATACATAGGCAAAACAAAATCATGTTAGGTACAAAAATATCCCCAAATAAAAGAAGAACAAGAAGAGAGGTTAATTACACTTATAATCCCAGTATGCGATATGTTACACTTCAATTATCAATTTTAAAAATTTTTCACTTTGGGTTCACATGATGACGTGGAACCTATTTAACATTGTCTATAACACTATTGAGATAATATAGGACTACTAACCTTTGGAACAATTATAATCAAGTGGATACTCAAATGCACTTAGAGAGCATGTTTGATTGGACAAATGGCAATTTCTGCACTCAACTGACCATCCAAGCTCGAACCCAGCCGCCAACAACTTCTTCACATCATCTGTATTAATAGGTTTCCAATCTACAGGAATCATTGAGAGGTACGAACACCCCACGGGGACGTCATAGAGAGATTCACTATCAAATTTAACATAAACATAGGATGTGTTTCCTCTGCTCAGACAAGGAAGTATTATGTAAGTTGGATCATTAATAGTAGCAGAACAGTTAACGAAACTAATGGATGAGAAAAAAAGTAGTCCTTGGTAACGATAATCGTTGCGCACATCATCCGAAGACAGAGATGCGGATGGAAGATTGCAAGTTCCATTGGTGAAGTTGACATCAACTAGGCGGATTGTACGCATGGCATATGAAATGTTCTTGACATAGTACATTCCGGAGTGGAAATTCATGATTGTTTTGTCTTTTTCGCAAGAAAGTTCGTAGTCAGGATCGCCACAGATGATTGGATCGCCCTTTAGGCGAAAAGGGTAGGTGATATTTTGGATATCACCACATGAAGAAGAACAATATTTAGATTCTAGAAGTAGTGATCTTGATGCTGCTTGAGTTTGGATGATGAAAAATGGAATAATAATCAGTAGAGAAGAGAATGCAATCAGTGCACCACCACCCTCTGATTTTCCGCTTCTCATTGTTATTCTTCAGAAGAAGAAACTGTGAAAAAATCTAACTGAAAAATGGTTTGTTGGGTATGAAAAATCAGACAAGAAGATTAGGAGAACTGTCAGACAAGAAGATTAGGAGAACTATCAGTCAAGAAAAATTAGTGGTTCATATTGCAAAGACTACAAAGGAGATGACGGACACCATGTGCATTTACAACTTGTGAGCCAGATGTCCTTTACGACTAGTCAATGTCATGAATTAAAGAAAAATTATTAGATGTTTTTAAAATACATTAATGCTTGAGACCCAATTTTTGTGACCACACAATTCTTAATTTTTTTGATAACTCATTATGTGTTTTTTTTTTTTCCCCTCTCTCCTCCCTCTCTCTCTCTCTCACAAACGATGTGGGGATTGTGAGGTCTGAGTATGTAGCATTTCTATTTAAAATATTATAAGGGATATTATTTACATGATTAATGCTTCAGGTCTTGAGAGCTTTAAGCGTGAATGATGTGAATTTGTGGTCACCAGTCGACCGACCGGACGACTGGGTGAAGCACTTGTTTATCGCAGTTGTCACATTGTCAACCGTGGCCGTCAACCCCTTTGCCGGACGATCGGCCGAACGACTGGTTAAATAAATTCGAGACAAATTCGCGCCTCAATATTCAAGGCCTATAGCACGACTCATATTTACATTATACTTTCAATCAATAAATGTAGAATTTTGCCATATTTTACTACTTAATAATTATCTCGAATAGACATAGTGGACTCATCGATCTGGTTTAAACATTATCAGAGCAAAATTCTACGCGCAAGAAAAATTCTATCTCCTCCCCAGCCCCTGGAACGACCACCACGTTCCCAATCGGCCATGAAGGACCTCTCCCCCCTCGCTGTTTCTTCCCTATGGTGACCCAACCATTCCCCACCGAAAACCCATCCAAAACAAGAGCAGCACCCTCCCATCCATCCCGAAACAGTGATTGGGCAAGAAAAATTTGATTACGACACTCGCCCATGTGAACCACAATCTGGACTGACTAGGCGAGTTTTGTTTTCTTCCTTTTGTTGTATTGGTTTTGTTGCATCTTCGTAATACTTTCTTAATAAAATTTATTATTTATCAAAAAAATAAAAATTCCACGCGCAAAAGCGGCAAGAAAAGTCATACTACTATTTAATGTTTCAGTGAGGGAAAAAAAAAGGGTTTATAGCAAAAATTTTATAAAGTAAAAAATTTTATAAAAAAATTATTAAAAACAATTGTAAAATTTAACCAATGTGTGTCAAAGTGTAAAATTAAAATAAAATAAAATTAAGAATCACTGATATAATTTTTCAAAAACAAAGACCATCATTGGCTGGTCGGTTAATGCGAAAGCAGTGTGAAACATATCATATGGTGTGAAAATCTGACTATAATGCTTAAATCAAGCAACATCTACAAGCAAAAGCACCAAGAAAAGTCATGACTACTATTTGATGGCAATAATATAGTTTGATTTTTCTTGAAATTATAGTTATCTATTTTTATCAAATAATAAATGTAATATGATGTTTGGCATGATAATCTGATCAATAAGCCTTCAAGATTAACTATTAAGATCATCAAGATAAACCCAAGATGAGTCCACCAACCTCCCTCCAATTGGACAATCCCTCTCTACCAAAAACATATCACCATAATGTTTTAAAGTGAGAAGCTCTAATCATTTTGCTGTCAAATAATTGGCAATGATCTGTGTTTTCATGGCTTCTCTACTCATGAATATTGTTCTCTTCCTTCTCTCAATTTACACAACAGGTTCAAGAGCTTCAAGCACCAATTCCAGTGATAATTTCTTTGAACTATGTCCTCCAACAAGATGTAGCAATACAGGTCCAACTATCAGATTCCCTTTCAGGCTAAATACTCAACCACCCTCTTGTGGCATTGAAGGCTATGAATTATCATGCTCAGGCAGCAACACAGTGTTCCGCCTCCCTTCCTCCGGCGACTACTACGTTAAACAAATCTCCTACCTCCGAAACTGGATTTCTCTAAAAGAAATCCATACCACGAATTGTCCGATTCAAAGTGTAATGCTTTTTAACCGCTCTGGATCAATTTTAACCGCATCCTATTATCTTGCTGTTGTGAAGTGCACGGAAAGGGTTGCGAAAGATGGAATATCGGGCCCAATTGATTGTTTACGGGATGATAATACTAATTTTATTTATGTAATGAACGGTGGGGATCAGATGGATAAGCTGCCTTTACACTGCAAAATGTTCAAGAGTGTGGGATTTGGAAATGTAGACGTGAATGAGGCACCTGTTGAGAGGCTGTTGAGGACAGGAGAGATCGTCGAGAATTGGAATGGTTTTGGACGATGTTATAAATGTGAAAATTCTGGAAAGTATTGTGGGCTCAATAGCACAAGTACTGGAACAATCTGTTCTAGTAAGAAGCCCCCAAGTAAGTACCACCCAACATATTGGAAGCAGTTTTGAAGTATAGTTACCAAAATTGTATTTTGTGCTTTACAATTTATTTTCCTGGGAAACTTATTGGAAAAACTTATCTAAAGTTCATGGTCTTCCCTTGCATGTGTTGATGGTTTATTTCCTTTCCAAAAATATTACTTTCTTCTTATCCAAACACATGTTTACTGTCACAATATTGCAGGGAATTCTTACCTCTCTTCATCGGTTCGAAAGACTCTTAGATTATGTTTGCTTGACTGGAATGTAATGTTCATTCTATTAGAACATTCATTCTCACATTTGGTTCACTAAGAACTGGTGAAAATTAAGCATTCCATTCCATTTCACTTCCATTCCAGTGAACCAAACATAACATATATCTCCATCTAGCAACTCTGTTCCTCTATATTTTTTTCATTGGCATTTGTTGTCCAACATTCTGAAAATTTAATAGGTATTGTAAGATGAACTAATTTGAGCCCACTAAATTAATTAGGCCCAATAGTCCAAGGGTTGGTGGGCCTGAATTTATCGTCATCAAACGGACTGAATGGCTCTAAGCCTCGAAAAGTTCGGATCCACGAACTTAGAGACTTACTCGGACCCGGACTCGAAAGGGTATTAAGCAAGCCTAGAGATCCAAGGTACTCGGACTCGAAAGGGTTCGGATCCATGAACCTAGAGACTTACTCGGGCCCGGACTCGAAAGGGGATTAAGCAAGCTTAGAGATCCGAGGCACTCGGACTTGAAAGGGTTCGGATCCACGAACCTAGAGGTCCGAAACACTTGGCTTCGAATAGATTCAGACGCAATCTAGAAGTTGCTCCGTTAATGAGTCCCAGAACACTTGTGGGCTCGGAGCTTTCCGGGATCTACGTACCAGAATCATGGGCGTAATGGAGTCTGAACAAAGGACCCGATCCTGAGGACGGTGAGTGGAGATAAATTCACTCTTCGGTTAAACTAGCCTATACCCGGGTCGAGGTGGCACGATCTAAGGGGTCCCTGAGACTCGGCAATATTTACGACAAGGCATTCTCTTGAACTACCCCTGACCCTTCTGCAACAGGGCGTCCTCTGGGACTATCCCTGACCCTTTGAGATGATTGGGGATCATTGGTTAAGTGTGACCAAGAAGAAGGGTTCGCCGAGAGGTTGATCTCCTCTTCAGGGTTTTCCTCATCCTCGGAGAGGTCACCTCCTCGAACAAGGTGGTTAGAGAGAATATTCCCCATGTGCCTTCTAAAGTTCATGGTCTTCCCTTGCATGTGTTGATGGTTTATTTCCTTTCCAAAAATATTACTTTCTTCTTATCCAAACACATGTTTACTGTCACAATATTGCAGGGAATTCTTACCTCTCTTCATCGGTTCGAAAGACTTATGTTTGCTTGACTGGAATGTAATGTTCATTCTATTAGAAAATTCATTCTCACATTTGGTTCACTAAGAACTGGTGAAAATTAAGCATTCCATTCCATTTCGCTTCCATTCCAGTGAACCAAACATAACATATATCTCCATCTAGCAACTCTGTTCCTCTATATTTTTTTCATTGGCATTTGTTGTCCAACATTCTGAAAATTTAATAGGTATCATGATCACTTTTTACAGAAATCAGATCTCCTGTCCCTAATTTATCCCGTCTCTGTGTCCCTATCCCCTTCGCTGTCACATGATCAATCCCTCCAACATTGATCAAGTGGTGGAGAGGGATTTAGAACAAGGGGGCAGAGGAGATTGGAACATTTTTACTCTCCAATGTCACCTCCACTCTTTCTTTTTTCCTTTTTTTTTTTTTTGCATATATGGCTGGAAATTTGAGCAATTATTTCAAATGACTACAAAAACTGATTCATTGACAGAATTATGATAGAAAGAGTGAAATGATGTGTGGGCATGGCTTTTCAGATATATACACTTTCTTATGGACTCATTAAGATTACAAGTTTGACCTATGACAAAGTATCAGCATAAAATAACCAACCATAGGATATATCCTAATTTCCATTCTTTCAGTTTGGTGCCTTAGTAATCGTCTGCTTTCAAAACCCAGTGCAATTGACTTTTTATCTTAGAAGAATTCTCAGATTATGTGGGAGAAACTCATCTTTCAAGAACAATTGATGATTTTTTCCTATCATTCTTATGGCAGCATAAATTGGATTGTGCTTCTAAACAGATAGATATTCAACTACTGATTTTTTGTTTTTTTTGTTTTGTTTTGCAGGTACACCAGTAATTATAGGTGAGCTCCTACTGAGAATTCTCTCAAGCTTAGCATAAACTCAAACTAATGATGTTATTTACTTATGCTGTTGGTTAATTTCTTCAGGAACTACTGTTGGAGGCACCATTTTCCTTGCATTGGTGATAGTAGTACTCGCCATCTACCGACGTAGAAAATCTGAAAGTGAACTCAAGATAGAGAAATTCCTAGCAAACTACAAGACCCTCAATCCGACCAGGTATACTTTCACTGACATCAAGAAAATAACCAGCCGATTTAAGAAGAGACTAGGCCAAGGAGGTTTTGGAAGTGTCTACCAAGGGAAACTCCCCAATGGGATACCTGTTGCTGTGAAAATGCTCGAGAAATCTGAAGGCAATGGGGAAGAGTTCATCAACGAAGTGGCCACTATAAGTAGGATACACCATTTCAATGTGGTTCACCTCTTGGGATTTTGCTATGAAGGGACGCGACGTGCTCTGGTTTATGAGTTCATGCCAAATGGGTCGCTTGACAAGTTCATACTCTCAAAAGAAGCCAAAAAGTCTCGTGATCATCCATTGAGTTGGGAAAAGCTACAAGAAATTGCGATTGGCATTGCTCACGGGATAGAATATTTACACCAAGGGTGCAACCTAAGGATCCTTCATTTCGATATAAAGCCTCACAATATCTTACTTGACGGGAATTTTCAACCCAAGATTTCGGATTTTGGACTTGCCAAGCTGTGTTCAAAGGATCAAAGTGTTGTATCCATGACAGCTGCAAGGGGAACCACAGGGTACATTGCACCCGAGCTCTTCTCAAGAAACTTTGGAGAGGTTTCTTACAAGTCCGATGTTTACAGCTTTGGAATGTTGCTGTTAGAGATGGTTGGGTGTAGAAAAAACATTGATGTTACTGTTGAAAATCAAAGCCAGATTTACTTTCCAGAATGGATTTATGAAAGAATGAGACAAGGGAAAGAACTTGGATTGCGAGTAGAGATGGATGGAGACGAAGAGATTGCAAAGAAGCTTGCAAATGTTGGACTTTGGTGCATTCAGTGGAGTCCATCAGATAGACCTTCCATGAAAAGGGTGGTTCAAATGCTAGAAGGTGACTTTAGAAGTGTAGAAATGCCTCACAAGCCTTTTCTTTAAGATGTTGAGATGGGTTCTTGAGATGAGTTCAATTTGGTGTCAAATTTGAGTATATATATATATATATAAGAATGGTCCATTTTAATTCATAAATTTCCATCTTTTAGTTATAGATGAAATGAAATACCACATGCATGCTCCTTAGCCATAGGATTGAGTATGTACATGTACACATTCCCTTGAAGAGATTATGTAGATCCTGTCTTTCCAAAATCCCTAGAATTATCACTTTATCCCTCTTTAACTATTGCTACATTTTACTTTCTTAATTATCATTTTTTTTTTCAATTTCAACATTTTGTTCAATTTTATGAAAAAAATGATAGAAAATGACACGTGAGTTATTCATTCCAATTTTCTCTCTTATCATAAAATTGACAATGTGCATATACTTTCTCTCGTATATTTCGTCATAGAAGAAAAGAAGATATATACACATCTCATATATAAATAAACCAACTCTTAAATGATCATTTTTATTATAAAATTTGCATGTAGATGCTCACATATTATTTTTTTTTCCTGCTCTTCTCGTAATAGAATGTTTTGAATCAAGTCAGACGTAGAGGAAAAAATAATGAATGAGGTTTTTTTAGATGGAAAATATCAGTTCCAAATTTATATTTAATGACGTGGAGGTATGCATGTCAATTTGTTTAAAAAACCTACCACATTCAAAAAAAAAAAAAAAAAAAAAAAAAAAAAAAAAAAAACAACAACAACAACACCACCACCTAATTAGTACATATTAATGTATATTTGGGAGGAAAAAGATTGGGAACACACCTACCCTCTGACATAGTGCACAAAGTGATTGTCCGACTTGAACCCATAACCTCAAGATTATTATTAGGCCAAGATTTTACCACATTAATGTAATAAATTTAAAAGTGATTTTAGAAGATAATTAACATTTGCGTCACGTGATTGATGGACAAATTCATAGACATAAATAACATACCTCAACCAGTGGCGGAGCCACACAGGGCTCATTGGGTCACGTGCCCCTGAGTTTTGAGAATTTTTTTTTAAACATAAAGAAAGTATTTTAAATAAAAAAAATTATAAAAATATTATTTAAAGTGAAATATTAATGACATTTTTAAAATTATGAGAACAATAATGATTATTTTGATTGAAAATAAAGAGACTATGATAAGTCATATTATTATTTATGAAAATTTCAATATAATGGTGATGTCTATCATTATTGACATGCAAACATAATTAATTTCAATGAAGATATGAAATTTATTGGATTGTTAGTTACATTTGACATGTGAAATTTATCCTTTATATGTTTCTTTCCATTCATAACTAAAATGACCACTATATAAATTATAATCAAGCAGCACATCTTCAATTATAAAAAAAATAAAAAATAAAAAATTACAATAAGTCATAACTAATATCAGAATAAGTCATAACTAATAATTATTTGATATATAGTCATAACCAAAATAATAATCACAAGAAATTTTTTTTTTTGATCGGAAAAAAAGAAACTTTATTGATGTAAGAGTAAAATACAAGGTACAAAACAGAATACATCGATAAAGGAAGGAAAGTGCAAGTATCACGATGAGCTAAATCCAAACTATGTTGTCACCAAAAAACTCATCCTATCATTTGCTAACAACCACAAAAAGTTATAACTAAAGAGTATGAAGATCATAATTGCGACATATGATAGACACTTTTTTTTGCGGTATGTTTTTATAGAATTTCTCTACTAAAATATGTCATTTCTGTCTCAACGTATCTTCTTTTTTAATTTTTCAATCCACCTATAAAATAGTTACTCCCCAATATTTGTATAAAATTTAAACTCAAATCCTTTAATTTAAAATTCACATTTATTAAATGAACTCTTAACATTTAAGTTTAGTAATATCTCATTACTGTTTATTATGAAAAAAAAAAAATTAATGTTGTCATTAATTTATGCCTCCTCTCCTCTGCACTGAATTTCTGATTACGCTACTGGCCTCAACCCTTGAAATATTCATCCATTTTTCTTAATTTTTAAACTCAAGAAAAAGGAAAAAAAAATTATTTGCTTAATGTTTAATTTCCCCCCCCCCCCCCAAACACACACACACACACAAATTTAAAGATTTTAGACACTGAATAAGAAATTTTAGACACCGAATAAGAAACTACTATTGCATTTTCATGAAAATTTAAGATTTTAGACACTGAATAAGAAACTACTATTGCATTTTCATGAATCTTTCATATAAGTTGCAGGCTTTCTATGTACTTGTTATCATTTCTGTGATATTCTCATTTTGCTTAATGATTCTATCTCTCATGCATTTTTTATTTATTTATTTATTTTTGTGTGATGTGTTTGGCTTGCTTGCCAGCATTTCCACTGAATTAATGAGTACTAGGAAATGGAGCCAAGTCTAATGACTAAGAGGATTTTGTCAAGGAAAATGATCTGTAAACAGAATTTTTTACAAAAAAATTCATTAAAATGATGTGTCAATGACAATTTTGATATAGTTTCCTAGTCCCATGCTTAATTCAACTATGAAAAGTGACTTGTTTGGGATTGATAGAGCCATTCACATAGCAATAAACAGGTTCAGATATCCTCAAATTGCAACTCTCACTACAAAAAAATTAAGGTATTAGAGACTAAAATTTAGGAACAAAATTATTTTTTAGGACTAAATATTTTTGTTATGAAAAATATTGTTATTATATTTTTAGCAACGAAAATTGAATATTAGTGATGAATTATTATCATTTTGAGACCAAATTTTTTGTCCCAAAAAATCATTCATTTTGAGACCAAATTACTTTGTCCCTAAAAGTGTATTTATTAGTGACATTTTTAAAATTTTATCACTAAAAGCCTTATTTTTGACTTTTCGAGGCTACCTTTTAGCGACTATCCTTACGACGATAGAAATTGGTCGCTAAATGTCTTTTGCAACAAATTTTTCACTTTTAGAAACAAAAAAATTTAATTTCTAAAACTCTTACATGTTGTAGTGTCTTTACACTGTGTTTACACCATAAATAAATTTTCCATCGATTACAATTAGATTTAAATTTTCTATTACTTGTTCTTTTTTTTTTTTTTCTTCTTCTTCTTCTTCTTCTTCTTATTATTATTATTATGTAGAAAATCTTGGAAGTTAAAGAGAAGTTAAGACAAGTTTTGAAGATTTATGGGATGGAAGACACATTGTATTGTAAGAAAGAAGATGGAATATTTAGCAAGTTAAAAGTAGTTATTTAGGTAGTGGTTAATGAGAGTTTTTTCTTTCATTTTTTCAATAAATTGCCATTAATGGCTTTATTGTGATGGACCAACAAATCAACACATGACTTGATTTTCATTTCTTTTCTATCCTAGGAGTAGATCTAATCTACATAGGAGTAGTTTAAACTTAGATAGTAGTAGTCTTAATATGCTTTACTTGTATTTGATTGTTCATTCAATATTTTACATCATCATCATCTTCTTCTTTCTCTCTTTTGTCTTATTTGTTTTGTCATTATTTTTACTCCAAGGAAGTCCTTGAAACTTTCAAGGTATAGAATCTCAACACAATTGTTTGATCATTGTGTTGTTTGGTAAGATTTTGGTTAAGGGTCTGTTGATCTAAGCCTAACAAAAATTTTACTAACAATTTTTGACATGTCCAATTGGACATCGTCGTAACTCGGAGGAAATGATACAAACAAAATATCAAGAAATTATACCTTCAAATGGCATGTTTACATCTTGTGTACCCATGAATGCAAACCACTAATGGAGTCGCAATAATTGGTATGAATTATTTTTGGAATGTCTCATCTTCTATGTATAATGATTCTACTGCCTGTTACTAACATAATGGCATGAAAAATGAAATGGAAAGAATAGTTTGGCATTGTGAGGATGGAATTTTTATTGGTACAAGAGTGAAGTTTTGGCCCTACAAAAAACAATTAATTTTTTTGATTGGCAAAAATTCAAATAATGTCATCACCATCACATTATTTGATGCAAAAAGATATAAATTACTTTGATGAAAAAATTCATCAACTTAGTTGTCAAGTTTATCAAGTTGATGGAGAAATTCAACATTGGAGTAAAAAATTAGAGAATCTTAAAAAACAAAAATTTTATGAGTTGCTAAGAGGCATTTCCAAGCAAAACTTTCTATCCACAAAAGCCATGGCCAAAACAAAATTAAGTTCGCCAAAACAAAATTAAGTTCTGCAAATGGCATGTTTGGAGGCAATTTTTCAAGCCATTAATTGAAAAAGAAGACCAATTTCTTTTGCTAAAGGATATTGAGCATTTTATTGTTAACAATCCAATTGGGAGGCATGGTTTTAAGTAAAAAATGACAAAGAATGTTGAACAACCATCACAAAATGATGGTGAAAATTCAATTGGAAGGTATGGTTTTAAGCCAAACATGGCTAAATTTGATGAACAACCATCACAAAATGCTGGTGAAAATCCAATTGGAGGGCATGATTTTAAGCCAAGCATAGCTAAATTTGATAAACAACCGTCACAAAATGATGGTGAAAATCCAATTAGGAGATATGATTTTAAGCCAAACATGATTGAAAATTATGAACAATCCATATTTGATGAATTTGAATTTTTAATATTGTTAATTTTGTCAAAAAATTTAATTTTCTAAAGTCAATTGACATTATGATTTCTGTCATCCAACAACCACAATGATTTTGTGGTACACATCAAAAATTAATTTTGATGAAATAGTTTACAAAAAGAAATTTTGAATTTTATTTCTATTTTTTATATAACAGTAATGGAGGAGTATTTCAATGTGGCCACAACAAAAAAAGAAATTTATATATATATATATATATGACCAATTGATTATAATTTTCATAGTTTCTATTATGTCTTTATGTTCATACAACTCTTCAAGAATTCGAGTGCTTTCATTCCTAAAGAGTTGGGGAGGGGGGACATTGTTTGCACCATAAATAAATTTTCCGTCGATTATGACTAAGTTTAAATTTTCTATTACTTCTTCTTCTTCTTCTTCTTCTTCTTATTATTATTATTCTTATGCAGGAAAATCTTATAGGTGAAAAAGAAGTTAGAACAAGTTTTAAAGATTGAAGGGATGGAAGACTTAGGAAGATTTAGGAAAGAAGGGGGAAGATTCAAGGGATGGAAGACACATGGCATTGTAAGAAAGAAGGGGGAAGATTTAGGAAGTTAAAAGTAATTATTTAGGTGATGGTTAATA